TACATTAAAGGCAGGAATAAGGTCTCAGAGGGGGAGGGATCTTGTTTCTCCATGTGGCAGGGATCTTGCAGTAAACAGGTGGTTTGGTGCTTGGCAGGTTACGCCCATCTCCTGAGGGCTGTGTTTGATCCTAAGGCTGTAAGCCAAGGCAGGACTCCAGCATGATCTGGGCTTTTGGAATTGGAGAATTTCACCCAGGAGTTTCCAGAAAAGCGGAAATGCCTTATGTTGGCTCAAACAAACCCTTAATTTTATACAGCTTCCAACACAAGACATTTTTCAAAAGGTAACTCAAATCTATAGTTACACAAAGCAGATCAAAGGAACTGAAGGAGAAACTGGGAAAGAAATTATGACATTATTGTTTATCTTGACTGTGATGATGGCTCTCCATGTGAATCAATTGGCCAAACCTCATGGAACTCACTGATGGTTGCTTCTTGTTGTGCAGTTATATTTTAATTCAATAAAATCTATTAAAATAGGCAATGAGGAATGTAAGCCCTGTGCATACTCTTCCTTGCCAATTGTCATTGTTCTAAGATACGTATTCAGTTTATTTTCATGAAAAGTAAACACCAAAGCAAAAGTAGAAGGTAATATGATTACACGAACAAAATTCTGATTTACAAAGGCTGTCTTTCCCTCAGAAATACACCTTGAAAGTTTACTACTTTGATCACCACCTGCAATCGACCCCCCTTTTTATTTGGTCAAGTTATTGCCAGGGGAGAAATCAGAAAAGCATGCTTGTGTGATTGTGTGTGTGGGGGTGTGTGTGTGTTTGTGTGTGTTGCTAGGGATCAAACTTAGGCTCTTGGAAACAAGCTAGGCATCAAAAGTCATTTCTCCTGAGCAGTCACATTCTTAAACACACTTCCAGGATAAGCCAACATTTATTGAACCCAACTACATTTCTAAGCACTAGGGTTTTGTTTTGTATTGTATTGGCCTGTTTTCATTCATTATAAATTACCAGCCAAAATGATAAGAATTTGTATATTCACAATCTAATTTCAGCTACTCTAAAACACTAAGTTTTCCAAGAAGACTTAAGAGAAATATACAGATTTGATATCCTGTTTCTCTTAAACTCTCTCTGGGCAAAATTCCATAAAATTAGTAGAAATGTATAATTTTTTTTATTGTTAGGAATGTGTGAATTTATTTCTCATGGTTAGATAATATTAATATAGAAATAGCAAATCTGAGCTCAAGTTTAATGTTTAAATTTAATTCAATGTAAAATACTATAAAAAATAACAATCTCAAAAAAATTCACAAATTTTCAGATCAAGATATTTTATTATATAATATATTATTCCCTAAACAGTTACTCTAACTCAAGTATCCATGATTATGAAAATAAATCAGAAGTTGAAGTCATCTTTAAAAATACATTATTTCAGTTTTAGGAAATATTCACTGACTTTCTGTAATAAAAAATGGTTAATTCATACTTTTTTTACCTTCTTTTACCTCTCCTGCAGTTCATGTATTCTTTTTTTACTCATTCTCTTGTTATACATAACAGTAGAATCTATTTTGATATAATAATACAAGCATGGAATATAACTTATTCTAGTTAGGATCCCATTCTTGTACACGATGTTGAGATTCACTGTAATGTATTCATTGTAAGGTTCATTGCCCTGTATTTCCTTTCCCTATACCTCCAACCTTCCCTTCTTTTCCCCTTTGTTTACACTACTGAACTTCTATTCTTCTCTTCCCCCCAACTTATTGTGGGTTATAATTCACATATAAGAGAATTCACATATCTTGTTTTTTGGGGGATTGGTTTATTTCATCCAGCATGATAGTCTCCAGATCCATCCATTTATTTTCAAATGTCATAGTCATTCTTCTTAATGGCTGAGTAATACTCCATTCTGCATACATATATTTTTTTCTCTTCTTTTCTAGGGTTTTGAGATGAAGTGTGAGATAATTTATTTGTGGTTTTTAATTTTTTTGAGGAATGAATTCCAAGTAATGAATTTTCCTCTTAGAACTGCTTTCATTGTGTCCCATAGATTCTGATATGTTGTGTCTGTGTTTTCATTTATCTCTAATTTTTTTAAAATTTCCTCCTTGATGTCTTCTGTAACCTATTGATCATTGAGTAACATATTGCTCATTCTCCAAGTGATATAGGATTTTTCCTTCCTTCTTTTATCTTTGATTTCCAGTTTCATTCCATTATGATCAGATAGGATGCATGGTATTATCTCTATTCCTTTATAATTTCTAAGAGTTGCCCTGTAACATAATATATGGTCAATTTTTGAGAAGCATCCATGTGCTGCTGAGAAAAAAGTGTAACCACTTGATGTTGAGTGGAATATTCTATATATGTCAATTAAGTCTAAGTTATTAATTGTATTATTGAGTTCTATAGTTTCTTTATTCAATTTTTGTTTGGAAGATCTGTCCAGTGGTTAGAGAGGTTATTGAAGTCACCCATAATAATTGTGTTGTGGTCTATTTGACTCTTGAACTTAAGAAGAGTTTGTTTGATGAAAATAGTTGCATCATTGTTTGGGGCATATATATTAATGATTGTTATGTCTTGTTGGTGTATGGTTCCCTTGAGCAGCATGTAGTTTCCTTCTTTATCCCTTTTGATTAACTTTGGCTTAAAGTCTATTTTATTTGATATGAGTATGGACACTCCTGCTTGCTTCCGAGGTCTATGTGAGTGGTATTATTTTTCCCAACCCTTCACCTTCAGTCTATGTATGTCTTTTCCTATCAGATGAGTCTCCTGTAGGCAGCATATTGTTGGATCTTTTTTTTTAATCCAATCTACTAGCCTATGTCTCTTGATTGGTGAATTTAAGATGTTAACATTTAGAGTTACTATTGAGACATGATTCGTACTTCCAGCCATATTTGTTTATTTTTATTACTTAACATGATTTGTTTTTCCTCTTTGATTAGTTTTTCCTTTACTGTACTACCTCCCACAGTTGTTTTTCATTGTTATTTTCCATTTCCTCTTCCTGTAATGTTTTGCCAAGGATGTTTTGTAGCGCTGGTTTTCTAGCTGCATATTCTTTTAACTTTCGTTTGTCATGGAAGATTTTAATTTCATCTTCAATTCTGAGGCTTAATTTTGCTGGATACACAATTCTTGGTTGGAACCCACTTTCTTTCAGCATTTGAAATATGTTGTTCCAGGATCTTCTAGCTTTCAAAGTCTGTGTTGAGAGATCAGCCATTAACCTAAATGGTTTACCCATAAATGTAATCGGCTTCCTTTCTCTTGTAGCTTTTAAAATTTTCTTCTTATTCTCTATGTTGGGCATCTTCATTATAATGTGTCTTGGTGTGGATCTCTTGTGATTTTGCACATTTGGCATCCTGTAGGCTTCTAGGATTTGGCATTTTGTTTCATTCTTCAAGTCTGGGAAGTTTCCTAGTATTATTTCATTGAACATATTGCTCATTCCTTTGGTTTGGACCTCTATGCCTTCCTGTATCCCAATAACTTTTAAGTTTGGTCTTTTTATGTTATCCCATATTTCTTGGATGTTCTGCTCATGGTTTCTTAACAGTCTCATTGAGCTGTCTATGTTCTTTTCAAGTTAAAATACTTTGTTTTCGTTGTCTTATGTTCTATCTTCTAAGTGTTCTACTCTGCTGGTAATACTCTCATTTGAGTTTTTAATTTGGTTTATTTTTTCCTACAATTCCAGGATTTTTTTTTTAAATATCCTCTATCTCCCTGTAAAGTTGATCTTTTGCTTCTTGGATTTGTTTATTTAATTCCTTGTCAAAGTGATCTTTCATTGTCTGAATTTGCTGTCTAATGTCTTCCTTGAAACTCCAGATCATCTGAAGCATGTATATCCTTAACTCTTTATCTGACATTCCATCTGCTGCAGATATTACCTCTTCTAATGTTGAATTGACCTGCATTATTTTTGGTCCTTTCTTTCCTTGTCTTTTCATACTGCTCACGTTTCTTTTCAGCTTTGTGAAACTGTTGTGTTATTAATTTTCCCCCTATATATTTATATTGCTCTTATTTAGATCCAAAGTATCTCTTTTGTGGAGAAAGAATTGTTAACAGTTCCCAATATCAATAGTACATCATCTAGGCACGTTTTTATTATTAATACAATTATAGCTAGGCTCTATGTCTACCAATGTTAGCTTCAATTATCATTTAAAAATATAGTCTTTAGTTTCATAAAAGGCCTACCATTTCTGGTAGCATGAAGAAAACTGAACTTCAGGTGTAGGATGATATGTTTAGAGGGAAAAGAGTGAGGGTATGGGGTTGATCTAACTTAGCAACTTTGGAGAGTTTTAACCAATAGACAGGTAATTAATGGAAGAATGTATAGATTCAAACTCCTATCTGTATTTAGAAGATTACCCTACTTATAGATGGTAAAATTTAGGGGGTTGAAAGTAGAATAGAGGGAGTAGGAAGGAAAGAAGAGATCTTGAGAAAAACTAGCAAGAAAGAGAAAAACGAAGGAGGGGAAAAAGAAAGTAAGTGAGGGAAGAAAAAAAAAAGAAAAAAAGTCTCTCTGAACCCTATTTTGTTTTATTATTATTATTATTTTTCCCCTTCCA